AATGAGAAGAGTAGCTTTGGATTGAGGAACATGGAAGAGAAGGCATGAAGATGAACGATGGGAGGTAGAAGAATAAGGAGAAAGAGACGCGAGTGTGAAACATATGGGGTTATTTTTGGAATTTTGAAATTTTCATTAAACTTTAGCGACTCTCAGCTTTCCCTAATTGCTTTCCCTCACATCAATTATTCATAATAAACTTTTTTTTTTTATTTCTTACCAAACATGGTGGGCTTTCAAAATTTTTAAAATAATCACTTGTGCCCCAAATAAGCAATGCCAAACAGGCATCAAGCCATCAACTGTTGATTTTATTTTCAGGCCTTGGGCCAACCAACTCAACCCGGCCCACTCTTTTGCAACCACTTTCAAACTTCCAAGTCCCCTCCGGATTCCTGGAAAATATAGAACTAGGGTTTCAAACCCCTCTCTCTCTCTCTCTCTCTCTCTCTCAACGCTTAAAAAACTTGCTGTCTTTGACTTCCCGAATTCATTCAGACCAAATAATGGGTAGGAAGAAACCCAAGGAGCCAGAAAGCGACGCCGTTTCAGCTCAGCCAGACATTTTCAAGACCCTATTCGGCGACGCCACCAGCGACGACGCCGTCCCTTCCATATTCTCTGACAGCAACCCGTTCAGGAGGACGAACCAGGAACCCGGGTTAGGGTTTGTTGCTCCTTCAGTTGAAGCTGAGGAAAACGTTAACCATGGTGATTCTGAGAACAGTGGTGATGACGGTGAGGTGAAAAAAAGGAAGAGAAGGAAAGAGAAGAAAGCTTCTGGTTTGGTTAATGAAGAAGCTTCAGAGACTCCTTTGGAGGGCAAGAAAGTCAAGAAAAAGAAACTGCAAGAAACACCCAATTTGGAAAATCCTAATTTGGGTTATGAGTTAAATGGGGTATCAAAGAAGGGCAACGGTGAAGCCTCCAACTTGGGGGAACGCCCAAATATGGGTGTTGAAACAAAAGGCGGTGATGGAATGAGTGTGGTGAAGAAGATGGATGGGAAGAAGAGGAAAAGAGATGAGCTTGAGAAGGAATATGAGGCAAAGAAGTATGGTGTGAAGGAGAGCGAGGATGTTGGAGACAAGGATGTGGGTGCAAAAGTTGTTGGGGAGAAGAGGAAGATGGTGGATAATCCAGCTGATATGCTGGTTTCGAATGAAGGTTTCGACGATGAGAGTAAGCTTTTGAGGACTGTTTTTGTAGGGAATTTGCCCTTGAAAGTCAAGAAGAAGGTTTTGATCAAGGAGTTCAGTAAATTTGGAGAGGTGGAGTCTGTAAGGATTCGTTCTGTGCCAATCTTGGATGTGAGTGTTTTAGCTTTAAATGTTTTGAGTTCTAAGACTTGTTTTTTGCCGAGTCACAATATAACTTTATTGTTATGATTTTTGATTTCTACATTTGATGGCTTTTGTTCAGACCAAAAAACCTAGAAAGGGAGCAATACTTACGAATCAAATCCATGATAAAGCTGACAGGTAATGATCTCAGATCACTTGATTGTTTTACTGTTTTAGGAAATAATTGTTGGTATATATATATATATAAACGTTTTTAGAGCACATAGATTCTCGTTTCAGTTACCGTCTGATTTTGGGTGGGATGTACCGGTTTTAGGTTTCTATTATAATCTATCATATAGCTCAAACATCAAGTTACACTGGAAAATTGGCTTCCTCAATAACCAATACGTTTAGGTTGTTAGGGATGTATATTTAGTGTACTTTAAGTTGTTTGCATCAAATTTTCAGAATATGCATAAGGATATAGAGTTTTGATACATGTTAGGATTGAGAAGAAAGTTTCATATTTAAGTTATTTACAAGTGACTTTGAGCTAACACATTTTGTGTTGCAGTGTTAATGGCTACATTGTTTTCAGAACAGAGGAATCTGCACAGGCTTCTTTGTCCCATAACATGGCTGTGGTATGATATTCTGATAAAGTTGGGTGATTATTTTCATTCTTCATAAGATGTCACTTACAATCAAGATGAGGTTGTTTGTTTTGTGCCTTAACTTGTTATGCACGTTGATGTAGGTTGAAGGACATCATATCCGTGTTGACAGGGCATGCCCACCTCGTAAGAAGCTGAAGGGGGAGAGTGCTGCTGTATATGATCACACAAGAACTGTTTTTGTGGGTAACCTTCCATTTGATGTGAAGGTGATTATCTCTTCTAGGGTTTTTATTTATTAGTATTTGGAATGTTTCCAAATTTTCAATTATTGTTGCCTACCTTAGTTGTAATATGTGCATATCATTTTCATTTCTTTTTCAGGATGAAGAAGTTTATCAGTTGTTTTGTGGTATTAACAATATGGAATCCAAAGTTGAAGCTATTCGCATAATCAGGGATCCTAACTATGGTATCGGAAAGGGCATTGCTTATGTTTTGTTCAGAACAAGGGTGTGCAATTTTCACCAACATTTATCAATTATGCTCAATTATTTATTCATAACCATGTTATGCCTTTCGAATTCAGATATGTGATTGTTTAATACTTCTGTTTGTTTCCTTCTTGGGATGGTTCTGTACCTTTCTAGTGACAGTCCTTATGGGGATGTTGATAGGATCCCAGAGAACATATGTGAATTCGTTGTCTTTCAACCTTTTTGTTTTTTTTGTTTTTTAAGGAAGTCTTTCAACCCTAAAATTATGCATTTGGGCCACTGAGTATATAATGTGGTTAACAAAACAAAATATTCATCATTATCAATTTTGTAAGGGGAATGATTTGGCACTCCAAATCTCACCTCCTACTCTCCTCTACCACTCACACATGAGGAGTGCACCAGATAATTTAATGGTGACGTTTGAGTGCCAAAATCACCACCCTTCTTTAGTTATGGCATATTGGCCGCTAAGTGTCTGCTGCCTCAATCTGTATTTTGCTTTCTCTTTATGTTAAAGTTGGACTGAGGACAGAAATATGAACTTGTTACCGGGTAATTTCTGGAACTGTGTGATTTATATTTTTTTTCTGAACATTCTTGTATCATGAATGTTTCTTTTTAAAACTCTTCTTTGGTATCAAATTTGTTTTACATACATGCATAGTTGACTAGACTAAATAAATTATTGTTTGAGATAGAGTGCCATCATCATGTAAACTCTGTAACTAAATTTTAATATGTTCTACTTTCTTGAGAGCCCACCTATTTGTCAATCTGTATTATTGAATACAGAATATCTTATGAGTTGTCTGTGAATTTGGGCACCCAGGAAGCTGCAAATTTGGTTGTTAAGAAGCGAAACTTGAAGCTTGGGGATCGGGAGCTCAGGCTCTCTCATGCAAAACCAGATTCTACCCCGTCCAAGAGAAAGAATCCTTCATCTGGATCGAAAGCTAATTCCCCAGCCAAAAAGCTAGCAGTGGGTTCAAGGACTCTGGATTTTAACAAGGTGGGTTCAAAGGCTACTAAGTCCTACCAGGGCCTGCGTGCAGGTAAGCCCGGTGTCCAAAAGAAATTTCATTCAAAAAGCAGTAGACAAGATACGTTCGAATCAAGATCTCAGAGTGGAGTGAAGCCGAAAGAACGTAAAGACAAACGACCATCTGTTGCTGCCAGAAAAGCTAAAGCATCATTCAAAGGTGGCCCAGCTGCAAAACAAACAGGTATAAAGCGTAAGATGGATAGCCGAACTCCTGAGAGCTCCCAGCAGAAGAAGAAATTCAAGAAATATAGGTAGGAGCACACAATTGATGTCCATTGGCAATTGACCTGATAAAGGCACCTCCAGTTCTGTGTTAAGAGAAATTATGAAATGTGTACCCTGTCCAATTTCATGTACAAGTCATTATATTGTTTCTTTTCATCAAATAATTTTTATAAGTTAATTTCCTTCAGATGGTTCCCAATATCTCGATTATCTATTTTCTGTTTGGATTCTAAAAATGCGGTTTTTGCTGCCCATTGTTATATCTGGCCATTGGATTAAACCCACAACCAAAATTAAAGTGCAGAATTACTTTTTGGGTCCTCGTAGTTTGATTCATAATTTCAATTGTGGTAAGTAGTGAGTTCAAATTGATGTGATCAATCCGTCTGTTTTCCTTGACAATTTCAAGACTTGATTGCTAACTAACCAAACTTACAAGATCAAATTATCAAAATGGAAACTAACATGAGCCAAAGTGAAAATGAAAACCACGTTCATTATACGTTTTGTTCTTGTATTACCAATCTTTGGTGCACTGACACGTCCTTGGATCTTGACATTGCTTTCTTTATGAAGATGAGAAAGGTGCAAAAATAACAATAATGAGATTATAGGATCAGACTAGCTCTCAACTCTCTGCCTCTTTCACTCACAATTGCTTCTTTTTTTTTGTCTGAACCATGAGGTGGTCCTGGATAGGCCCCAACTATGGGTGGCACCTTTAAGCCTTAACCACAACCCAGACTAATCCTCACTCACACCGGGTCGGCCCGTAAGGGGTAAAGTGTTGGCCAAAATGGTGACTCCGTACGAGAGCAGGGATCGAACCCCTGACCTCTCTTAAGGAATGAGAGTGCCGAACCACTCACATCAACCACCTTGGTTACAATTGCTTCTTTTGATCACCCACCTACATGAACATTTTTGTTGTTTAGTTTTTTAATTACAAATGATATTCTAAACGATATTCTAAACTACTCTAATGTATGAAGATGATCAAACTTGAGTTGAGGGCAAAAGGGCAAAAGGACAAGCACATTGCTTTGGCTTATTAACCTAACCCCAAGATGCCTCGGTGTAAATATTTTGGTCCATAAGAAACTTGCATTGCAAAATTGCGATTCTTGAATTGTGGAGAAACAATGTTTTTTGGTTCTGCAATTCTTAGCTTCCGCGCCAAGCAATTCCAGATGCCATAGTTACTTGCCAACTTCAAACTTGGAACTAAATGGTTGAGGCAAATTAAGCAAGAAGGAATCATTAAGAACAAATACCTTGTGTATTAGCTAAGCATGTAAGGCGAAATTGAGAAATTACAAACCTTGTGGACTGATTGTCTTAAAGAAATTTCATACTGACGTTTTAGTGGTCAATTTGATGAAACACAATACTACTGTTAAGTTGGGACTTCCAATTCAACACTAGAACTGAGATAAGCTCAGAACTTGACTAGACTGCCTTTACATTTTTCCTGCCAATGATATACATACCCTAAGAAATTGGAGACATTCTTGACACTGAAAATGAATTTACATTACACATTTACACCCAACCCCACCGACCAATGCAGTAAACCATGACAGTCAATTAGTTTCATCCAAGCACACGCCTTCAGCATATAATCTTATCCAATGGAGATCCGACAAAGGCAGTTATCTTCAAATGCGGACAGATGCTAACTGTACAGAGGTGTTATCCAAATGACTGCAAGCGCAAGCAGAACAAGGGCCTCATGTACACCAAGCAAAGTTCAGCAAGTGAGATGCTATGATTTGCTCTTGCTCACTAACGTGGGAGTAACTGAGACAACTCCAATGAAGAACAAGGTGGCTATTGAGTTGAAATCATAGAGATCCCCAAGGGATCGCAACTCTCCAAGAGCTAATCCAGCCTGAGGGCAAAAACAAAGTCAGAGATACATAGGCATAACCAGTAACACTTGGGTACATTATGAACGCCAGAGTACTCAGATAAATCACCAATATAATTGTCCTTTACAGATTAGGCCGAACTATCACCACCTTAACATGCTGGTGGCAGGTGGTCTGAGCTCCAACCACTTCGTGAAATGAACCAAAATAAAAACCATTCTCCAAAATTGATACTTCTCTTCCAAAATTAGAAAACTAACTTTGCTAAAGACGATTTTATCTTTTTATGCATGAGTAAACAATGCAGATTGAGATGACCGAGATGAAGGTATAATGATCTTTCTCTATGCAAAAAATAATAATCATGATTCATATCTGTTTTTGCATAGTGATTTTTATTTTGGGTCATTTGAGCATCTTCAGGATTTGAGTAGAGTTGTGATAATGCCTTCTGATGTTCGGAGACCACAATTGAACTTCAAAATTTAACCCAAAAATTTTCATAGAAGGAAAAGATACATACCCTGACAGTGACATAAGCAGCTGGTATCAGACCAATTATGGTTGCCAGGAAGAAAATATGATAGGGTACATCCACTATTGGTGAAGCAAGATTAATAAACGTGTTTGGCAAGGTTGGAGTCAATCGTAGAAACAACATGTAGTTTAAAAGTCCATCTCTTCTTTTAGCCACCTGGAAGAAAAAATTAATGACTGATTCCTATTTTTTATGTTAAGTATCAATGAAAGATATGGAGACATTTAAATTTACCTGGTTTTGGAAAAACTGCAGCTTGTCAGGCCAAAGAGAGAAGACAATGGGCCTCCCTATCAACTTTGACAAAAAGTAACAAGAAGATGCACCAGCAGTGGCATTGAACACCACCAAAGCTACGCCTTTGAAAACCCCAAAAAGGGAACCAGCAAGCAAGGACATGAATACAGTACCAGGGATCATGAAAGTCTGCATAAATATATAAACCATGCAGTACCCCAACAGAACTTGAGCAGTGTAGTCACTTGTGTAGTCCTCAAGGTGAACTCTACCCAGAAGAAGACAATGAAACAATAAATAAATAAAACTGACAAATACTATGAAACTAATATTCTACAATCTCTCTGTAAATGAAGAACATACAGCAGGGACAAAACACAATACATCATTCGTCAAACTAGGGGAGTAGATTAGCTATAACAAACCAAGTTCATAGTGCTAATGATGTTACAGCTATGTCTTTCAAAATACTCAAGCAATAAAATTATCAAACCTAAATTAAAATACCACAAGAATTTCGTTCCACCTCTCTACCAAGTGAAATGGCTTTAAATGGTTATAACAATAAATAAAGGACATTAGCATTATTTTCCCTTATTGAGTCTACACAAATCACTCCCAACCCTCCTACTACAGCATCTTAGGTCACACTAATGCACTAATTCATATTAGGCATTTGTGCCATAACTCATAACTAATATTACAGCTACATGATGTTACATAAAGTTTCACAGAAGAAGAATCAAAGGTCCGAATTTAAACTTGCTCAGACCAATACCAGTTGTACTAAAATAAAGACCTATTATCTTATTAGGAAACAACAATCTATTTATTATTTTCAACTCTTGAAAAGTGATTTGTCAAAATAGAATGCTTCAATTATTTAGGTAGAAGATAGATCCTCACAAAAAGATCACGCTTTTTGGTTTAGCTTTGGAAAGAGAAAAATAGCTCTCAAAGCTAAAAATCCATAATTTACTATACAACTAACAGAGCTCTGATGCAGAAATTGCTTATACCAATAAAACAGAGGGAAAAAAAAAAGCCTAGATTGGAATTGCGTGAGAAAACCACAAATTTCCCATCAATTTTGTTCCTTTTCTCTAAGCTCCAGAACATTGAAAATTGAATCTTTCATGGGCAATTTATCATATATAAAGTACCTGAGGATTTGAAGCTCTTGGAGGCTACGAGGGAGCTTGAGAAAGCTATAATCCGATGCGGGCATGGTTAGGTAAACGACCAGAAGGCCAACCACGAAGCCCAAAAGGACCGTGGAAGCCACAGCCACCTCCCAGAAGCTCAATGGGAACTTACTGTTAGATCCCACTCCCCCAACAACCTTCACATCTCCATTGTCTTCTCTCTTCTCCATCTCTCTCTAAATTTTCCTTCTTTTTCTTAAAATTTTCTTTCTTTCTGCAATTTTCTAGGGAAAAGTTAGAGAGAAACAGAAAGAGATGGAAAAACCAAAGGAACCCCTTTTCTCTTCTTCTCTCCTTATGTTTCACAATCTAACTTCTCTCTCCTCTATTTTTTTGGTTTCTTTTCTTAGCAGAAAGAGGAAGAGAGAGACAGAACAAAGCATATTCGCTAGTTTCTAAACCAACTAAATTCTTCTGAAAAAATAAAATATGAATATTGGGAAAAATAAAAATACGATAATTATCTTTTTACTTATTTTGATTTTGTAATGCATGTCGTATTATATGTCGTCCTCCGCGTTTTACTTTATTAGCAACCGAATAAGGCCAAACCTCCGATCCCAGTCTCACATGCTCCCCTTGTTCTTCTTTTGGCTTTATAAATTTTTTTTATTGGTTTTTATTATTTTATTATTTTTTCTTTCTTTTGGCATAGACGAATCTTGTTAATCAAAGAGAAAAAAAATTACATTATCTTAAAATAAACTTTGTAATTACTTTCAAAATTTTCAACTTGTTTTGAACTATGTCTTTTGTGATATATTTATAAAAAAAATTGGTGTCTGAAATAAAATAATTTACATGGGAGGGATGTTGATGGTATAGTCAACTTGACAAACCAAATCCTAATCAAACACTACTAGAAAAGTGGGCTAAAGGCACGACCCAAAGATCACAAAAACAAAGTTCATGTCTTTTTGAATTACATTTTACACAAATACTAGTATTTGTGTGATTTGTAAAGAAGACATAATAGTTTTGTGTCCAATGACAATAGAAAAAGCAAATAATTGTGCCTAAGCAGTTTAAGCACAAATTTTGTGGCCAAATATCATAGCATAGAGTTTGTCACTACACTTTTTGAATAGTTGAAGCTTTTTTAACCATGAAAAATATACTTTTGTGCATTTTTCTTATATATTGTACTAATAAAAAATTCTAACCATAAAACATTATTTGTGCCTTATACCAATAAAAAAGCATGTCTCTTGTTACTTACACTATTATGACTCAATATTGGGCACGAATATTGAATTTTGTGGCATTGTACCGCACACATTTCAAAGTATGATAGTCTTTATTTTTTTGTTCATAATCAAAGTATGAAAGTCTTTTCATTTAAAAAAAAAAAAAAAAAGTAAGATAGTCTATACTCTATAGATAGAGCACGGATATTGAATTTGTGTTCTTATTTTTTTTTGGTAAAAAGAATTTGTGTTCTTTTAAATGGCTATAGAGCACGAATGCTTTAAATTGTGTCAATACTGTAAACAAAGTAAAAAGTAATGATTTCTCTAAGAGGCGCCTCTCTCTCTCTCTCTATCTTCCTGTCTTTTTTTATTTTCTATAATTTTGTTTCCCTCCTTACTCTCTTTTTAAATTGTGTCTCAAGTGTTGCAAAAAAAGTATTTAAAAAAAAATAAGTTGGACAACAACACACGGCTCCCTCCTTTCCTTAATCTATTTATTTTTTTTATTTTTTTTCCCACTCTTACCTGACATTCTTAACCTATTATTAACACACTGCTCCCTTACTCTCAAATGCAGTCGTCGCCCATTTTTCTCGATCTACTCTCTCTTCTCCATTACTCATCATCTTCTTCTTCTCACCTTCTCTCAGACCTCATCTATTTTTCGGGGTAAAGCAGACCTCTCTCTCTCTCTCTCTCTCTCTCTCTCTCTCTCTCTCTCTCTCTCTCTCTCTCAGTCACTGAAATACACAAGAAATGCAAGACTAAGATGAAAGTATTTTGGTGGAGCTGTAAGATTTTCGTTCATGTTGAAGTGTAATTGAATATTTTGGATGCAATTATCATATTCTTTTATGGATTGTTTTTTAATATATTCTGTGTTAGTTTTGTTAATTTGAAAATTTATGAAAATAAATATTTCGGATCGGATTATCGGATATAGGTAGATCCGCTCCATATCCGGTGATTTCTCTCAAGTAAATTTTCTTTCTAGTTTTTTGTTTATCTCTTTTTGGGTGCTGATATGAGAATCTAGGTTTATCTTATTTAATTTCTTTCTTTGATTTTGGACATGAAATTTGTTGTTTATGGGTGAGTTTATGAATGAATCTTGAGTTCTATATTTTTTGAGAATTTTGTTATGCCCATTAATATCAATTAAATTTTCTTTGATTTGATTTCTGGTAATTTTTTAGCATCTTTGTTTTTGTTCACTAAATCTGATTGTTTGCAGTTTTGAAATGGGAAGATGAAGATGTTAGAGAACTTGGAGGAAGAAAGCAGATCTGGAGATTGGACGATGATATTGTCAGTACTCAGGAGGGACTTTGTTGCAAATTAAGTGGGCTGTACTGCAAATCAATAAAATACGGAGATACTCAGAGTTGTACAAAATAATTATTGTAACAAAATTTATTTGTTTTTGGTATCTGAGTTTATTTTCATTTTTTTATTTTTTATTTTTAAAAGTTTGCCTTTTAGCCACGTTTAGAGAAATTTGTGTTCATATTGAATAAAAAAGTATTATTTTCGTATTCTCAAAGAGCTACTATCAAGAGGTGGAGTTTTGGTGGGGCCATCTACTCTATAAGCACAAATGCTTTATTTCGTGCTCTAAATATTTGCCACGAATCAGTATATTTGTGCTCTATAATCAATAGAAACCCCTATACAGGAGACCGACCACTATAAAGTGGCTGCACCGTTGCTATTTTCATAGGGCACGATTATCCGTGCTGTTTGAAACAAAGAACACAAATAAAATTCGTGCTTTTAGCCCAGTTTTTTAGTAGTGAAATTAAGTTGATGCAAGAATTGTTATCTTATTTGATTTACAGAAATCTGAGGTCCCCTCCAATTAGGTTTTTAGCAATAAGTTTATTTCAACATGATATATTATACAATTATCCATATAGAATTTATTTGGAGGGAAAATCCCAAAACTAGCAACTTGTCATTTTTTAATTGGTTTCAGAATTTTTTTAACACAGTAAGAACTAATTAGAAAAATAGTTAGTATTGGGGTTTTCCCTCCAAATAAGTTTTATAATATGACATGTTAAAATTGGCCTATTAATGAAAAACCCTTTCTTAGAAGTAGAGAAAACGTAAATTTATTAATCAAGAATCCTAGTCCTACTTGAAAGAGATCCTCACACTACTCAAATCCTTTTTGTTCCTTGTCTTGATGTTTTGAAATTCTCTCGTTTTAAGGTCAAACAAATGAAATTCTCTCGTTCTATATGACCATTAATTCATTTGTTTGGCATAAACGTGAACTTATTGATAATACCAAAATACATCACATGCTAGGATGGGATGGGATGGGAGATAGCCAATCTCGACCATCTTCTATTTTTTGCGATAAAGTAATAGATAATTGGCTAAATAAACATCCTTCAAAGTTTCAATAAAATTTTCTAAGTTTTTCTTATCATTTATGTGGTTTTTATTCAATTTTTATCAATATCGATAATTTCCCGATATTTCCATTGAAATTTTCGTATTTTTGGACTACCGATCGATATTTTAGACCTTGATTGGGTGAGAGTGTAGCTGTTAGGAGTCCAAATACACTGCAAAATAGACGAACATGGTGTTTCAAGATAACATTAAAATGCCAATCATTTAATTGAGTGGTTAAATGTTGTATGATTCGAGTGTTTTCTAACAACAACGATCTTTGAGTGAATATCCAAAAAATGGATGGTTTTGATTATTGAATACAAGGTGGATGGGATGGATTGGGCTTTACAAGGGTGTCTCTCAAATATATGTTTATTTGAAGGATCCCTCAATTGAAGCTCTACGTTGCGGGGTCCACTACAAATCTTACTTCAATGATCCGAACCATCTACTTTTGTACTCTTTATTCATAGATCATCCTTACAAAAAATTACACAAATTTAAAACCATTAAGACATGTAGTTGTGATGAACAAAATTGATTAATACGGTGCTTCAAGGAATAGTAAAATGACAACCACTAACTTGATTCGTTAAATGATTTTAAATTCAAGTGATTTTTAGATGATATGATCTTTGAAGGAATAGTTACAAAAAAAATAAATGGTTTAGACCATTGAAATACAATGTGGAGTTGTGCCCACAAGGGTCCTTAAATTTTTTTTTTTTAAAAATGATGCCAAACGTTTTAAAAAAAAAAAAAAACTCTAGCCGCTAAAAGAGACATAAAAAGAGAGTGAAAGCTTCAAATTCGAGGGGGTTTTCCCCCAGATCCCGTCGGATCTTCGGTGTTCTCCAGTTTTTGGTGGACCTATGTCTTTCTACTTTTCCTTTGGAAGATCTATTGTCTTAGGTATGGGATGACTTTGGTTGTGTCTCATCTTGTGAGGTTGGTCTTTGAGGTGTTGTGGTTTCATCATGGTAGATTCACTACTCATTGGTGCGTTGAGACTCTGGAGTAAAGAGATGGCGCTCTTTATGTCATGTCCCAAAGGAGGGTTAGCGGCGGTTGGTTTTCCTTTTGCTGGCATTGTTTTAGCTTTTTAATTTTGGTTTAGTTTGTTTAATACAGTCCAGAAACTCTGAGTTTTCTATGTTTTTTTTCTCGCATGATTCCAGAAACTTAGTTAAGTTTGATGGGTATTCTTAGTCTCTCTAGGAGAGTCATGCTGGTTAGCGGCTAGTTTTGTCCTTGATGTCATTGGAATATTTGTTTTCAGTCGAACCCATATGACTGGCAATTTGCAATCAGAGGCCCTAATGGAACTGACTTCGAGCGTGGGATTATCATGGCCGGATCAAATTTTCGGAGAAATACCCATACATATGTCCTATACTCACGTTGTTGACGGTAATATTATATGTTGTTGCTTTTTGAGGTTTATGTGGGCTCTTTTGCTACTTGGGTTAGTTTCTTTTTTCTTTTTAAAATTATCATAGTCATGATGTGTATACTTTACTTGCAGCAAAATGGTCGCTTCAAAACCCAAACCGAGATCAGTTTCGACTGGACGTTTTTGGTGGGATTGGGAGGTACATTTCATTCTTTCTGAGACATTATGTATGCTAGTATATAATGTTAGAATACATCTCTTAAAACACTGACTGACCTGCTAAAGAACAAGACACGCATAATCCACCAAAACACAAGCTATTCTTCTACTCCCAGTTTCTGTCTATTTAGTCTTGGCATCCTCACAACATAGCAGCAAGAGGATGAAGGTCTTCCACATCTTTATTAAGCAGATGTACCGCAATCGCTGAGTGAGGGATATGGGTTGCAATCCCTTTCTTTGTTAGCTTATTAATTTCTGTATTTCATACTCATAAAATTGTATCCGTTTTCAGGATTTAAAAAAACAGCATTGTAGAAATTCCATTTCTTTATTATTTTTATTTTTTTCTTCTTTTCTTCATTGTAAATTATTATTATTTTTGCTTTGAAATCCCAAGTATTCATTCATATAAAGAGAGAGAAGACAAGCAAATAGGGAGAAAGAGAGGACGTAAGTTTAATATATTTTGAACTGTAAATGAATAAATATTTAGAGATGTTCTTTCCGTTCAATAATTAAACAGCAAATTAGCAACTCAGCAAAACAACCCAGTTTACTCTTTCATCGAAGATTCTTCAAATCCCTGTGCCAAATATTCTTGTTTTGCCCAAGGAACCTCACCTTTATGTTTTATTCCTTGTGGTCGTGCTTTATTTTATTTTTAGTTTTTTACAGTCAGTATGTTGTAAGCCACCCACACATTACATTACACAATGTGGCTACACGTTTGTGAACCCAACATATTGGATAAGTCCCATAAACAATGCAGCAGACATGGATTGCCTAAAGTGGAGCAATTAATGCCAGACCCAACTTCGCTTCAACTTCAAGAAAGAATGGAGAAGAACCTACATAATATTGCTCATCACTCTTGTTGCCCTAATTTCTGTGTATTTGATTGGCTGTTGTGCTTTTAGGAATGCCAGGACCTTTTCAGAAACTACAAACAGGGCTATACCTAATAGTAATAGCTAAGGGTGCTTGGGGTGAGGCCTCCACAAGTTCAAACCTCATTCTAGTAGATTAGATTAAACGATCCCTTGTATTAAAAAATCATTTGTAATGCAAAAGTCAGATGTGGAGGTAAGACTTTAGGGTTTTAGTAGCTGCTGCAAAAAGACATAACCTGGAAGAACCAACAAAAATCACTCTCTCAGACCTATAAACACCGCCACCTCTCTTTCCTCTCTGTGTTAATTATGTAGTCAATTAATGTTTGGCACCTACAATATTTGGGGGGCTTGACTAGTTTGGTTGCCTAATTAGTTTGGTTGCCTAACTTGGTTGGTTGCCTAACTTGGGGGGCTTGACTAATGTCTTAGGAACTTGTATATATATGTGTTGATTTTAAGTAATGAAACATAAGTGAAAAATCAGAAAATATTCTACAACTCTCATTCTCTCTACACTTTCCACTCTCTACTCTCAATATTCTCTATGTTTTAGCAAAACTATCCCTTGTATTAAAAAATCATTTGTAATGCAAAAGTCAGCTGTGCAGGCAAGACTTTAGGGTTTTAGTAGCTGCTGCAAAAAGATATAACCTGGAAGAACCAACAAAAATCAACGAATGAGTTCTCTCTCTCTCTCTCTCTCAGACTTATAAACACCGCCGCCTCTCTTTCCTCTCTTCGCTTCGTGTTTTAAAGTTTTGTTACAGGAAGAAGTGATTGTGGATCGGGTCGGATCGGCGCAGATCGAACAAAATCTAGTGGAATTGTATCCGAGTATAATGCGCAATCAACAGGGGTTGGAGGGCAGAACAACCTGAAGAACATGCGGAGGTCGACGGTCCTTCATTCTTTCCGAGATCAATTTCAGCGACATTTTCTGTGTGCCATTCATAGGAGGTACATTTCATTCTTTCTGAGACATTATGTATGCTAGTATATAATGTTAGAATACATCTTTTAAAACACTCATTCACCTGCTAAACAAGAAGACACACATAATCCTCCAAAACACAAGCTATTCTTCTACTCTCAGTAAACCAAAATGCTTTTGCTAATGGATATGGTTTTAAGCTTCACTATTATAAGTTGTCCTTGTTTTTTAAATAATGTGCCATCTTGCTAATGTGATGTTGTTGTTGGCAGTGCACAGAGCTTTACTTGGACTTATTCAGTTGTTGCGCATCTACCCAGATGGTGCATTGGGTTCAGTAGGATACAATAAGAAAAAAAGGCGTGCCCTGGCCATCAAATCTCGTAAAGCACCCCAAATATTTGGCACTTCTGAACGTCAGAAGTTAATTAATGAGGTACAAGGTTTCTTTGCAACCAACATCGACTAACATCTCATAATGAAAACTTGCTAAAGGATAATAATATTTTAATTTCACAGATTCATGATTATATGCTCAGCAAGACACCCCCTCTTCCTTCAAACAGGGGAAGGGATATCCAGGCGAGTTACCAAAATGATTTAGACAAAACAATGCGAAGCATCCATATCTTGGTTGGGAATACAATTAATGCTAACAACTCCAAGCAGGTAGGAATTTACGATTTTTAGAATAACTGCTCCAAGAAAGCAAAACAAGACGTCTCCAGTAGATAAACCAGCTCGACTTCCAGAGAAGACAACCAAGAGTGATGAACTGTGGGTGATCTGTAGTGTAGCCCTCTTTTTTTTTTTCTTTTTTTTTTAATTTTTTTATTTATTTTTATACAGGCATGTTGCCGATTAGGATTGTTACCACCACAAAGATTCGTTGTGTAAAAGTTTCAAAAAACCTTTTTAAGATTTTTTATTTCGATTTCGATTCAATTGAAAACAGCATACATCATCATTTATAGGATTAGAGTTTGGAAACATCATACATCATCTATATATTTCAATTCGATTTCAATTCAATTGGGCCAACCCAATTAGTTAGATTTTGCAGGTTTAGTTGGTTTGGGCTTGACCCCAATATTAGTTTTTTTATAGCCCAATATCAGTTCTTTTTCAAATCTCCAATATTGGTTTATTTTTTCCAAAAAGCTAAATATCAGTTTTTAAAACAGGCCAGCCATAAAGCCATTTCGTTTTACAGTATTTATTGTTGTAATCTTATAAATTCAACTATAAATCCAACAGTTTCCAAGGAAATAGAACAGATATGTGCTTGCTATAGAGATTATACATGTGCTTACTATCAATCCAAGTATGATTTATTAGTTCTTACAACACATGACAAAAAATATACATAAAGCAAGAAATTCATGTTACACTTACAACCCATGACCCCCAAAAAAAAAAAACACAGAAAACAATAGCTGCAGCAAAACTCTAGGTCATCAACCAAAAAACCTTCATCCAACTAGCTGTAGCAACATCCATTCAAAAGAAAACCTGCATCAAAACTAAGCAACCAAACCAACAACACTAGAATAATTAAATCTGTTAAGTGATGACATGACACATTTGGGATCCATATATATTTTTAAAATAAATTAATATATTAGTAAAGTTTTCATAAAATTCAATTAAATAAGAAATATGATTTCTTTTAAAACAAGCCGAAACAATTATAATCCAACCATTCCAAACAAGATGATTGTGAAAGGATTAATTGAGATGAGAGAACTTGATCCAATGATTCGTATGAGAATGAAATCTTATCTTGTCTATTTTTGGATTTTGTATAAATCTCACTACACCTACCAAATCGTGCAAGTGGTTAAGTTGGGGATAATATCGATGTTAGTAGTGGACAGCGAGTCATCCTCTGAAATCTTAACATGGTATTATACATGGCCGGTTTACTGGGCCCAATTGAACCTGAATCAAATGAATCTCGAGGCCTATAGACTCCAAGTAAATCTTCATTAAGAAAAGACCTAATACTATCAGGAGGATCATGGAAGGTTGACAGGCCCAACTCAAAACATGAACTTAATTCAGTTAATCCATCTGTCACCATATTGCACTTACGATATACATGATGAATAGAACAAACCCAGTTTGTCTATATAGTCTTGGCATCCCCACAACATAGCAGCAAGAGGATGAAGGTCTTCCACATCTTTATTAAGCAGATGTACCGCAATTGCTGAGTGAGGGATATTGGTTGCAATCCCTTTCTTTGTTAGCTTATTAATTTCTGTATTTCATACTCATAAAATTGTATCCGTTTTCAGGATTTAAAAAAAAAACAGCATTGTAGAAATTCCATTTCTTTATTTTTTTTTTCTTCTTTTCTTCATTGTAAATTATTATTATTTTTGCTTTGAAATCCCAAGTATTCACATTCATATAAAGAGAGAGAAGACAAGGAAATAGGGAGAAGAGAGAGGACATAAGTTTAATATATTTTGAACTGTAAATGAATAAATATTTAGAGATGTTCTTTCCGTTCAATAAGTAAACAGCAAATTAGCAACTCAGCAAAACAACCCAGTTTACTCTTTCATCAAAGATTCTTCAAAACCAGGTGTCAAATATTCTTCGTTTGCTTCCTTGTGGTGGTGCTTTATTTTATTTTTATTTTTATTTTTATTAATTAATTAATTATTATTTTATTTACAGTCAGTATGTTGTAAGCCACCCACACATTACACAATGTGGCTACACGTTTGTGACCCCAACATATTGGATGAGTCCCATAAACAATGCAGCAGACATGGATTGGCTAAAGTGGAGCAATGCCATACCCAACTTTGCTTCAACTTCAAGAAAGAATGGAGAAGAACCGACATAATATTGCTCATCACTCTTGTTGCCCTAATTTCTGTGTATTTGATTGGCTGTTGTGCTTTTAGGAATGCCAGGACCTTTTCAGAAACTACAAACCGGGCTATACCTAATAGTAATAGCTAAGGATGCTTGGGGTGAGGCCGCCACCAGTTCAAACCTCATTGTAGTAGATTAGATTAAACTATCCCTTGTATTAAAAAATCATTTGTAATGCAAAAGTCAGCTGTGCAGGTAAGACTTTAGGGTTTTAGTAGCTGCTGCAAAAACACATAACGTGGAAGAACCAACAAAAATCAGCGAATGCTTACTCTCTCTCTCTCTCTCTCTCTCTCTCTCTCTCTCACCTATAAACACCGCCGCCTCTCTTTCCTCTCTCCGCTTCGTGTTTTAAAGTTTTGTTACCGGAAGAAGTGGTTGTGGATCGGGTCCGATCGGCTCAGATCGAACAAAATCAAATGGCTGTGAGTATGGTGTCGCCGGGGTTTAAGCCGCGGCCGGGGTTTAAGCCGCTGCTGACGTTTAAGCGGCCGCCGGGGTTTAAGCCGCCGCCGATCGATATCAAGAAGTCAAAAGTGGCGAGGCTCATTAAAGCGGAGTTGAAGGAGATGCAATCCAATCCCTCCAACGATTTCAAGTGCCTCGCGCTCGAGGTTACGTTTACTTTTCCAATACCCCTTTCGTTTTTTATATTTATAAATATTTTTTGGTTTAATTTCACTTTGAAGGATAAGTTAAGAATTTGGATTGGTGATTCTGAATTCCATTTGAATTTTGTGTTTTGGGTTCGACCTCAATTGTTGTTTTTAGCATTCGATTTTGTTTTAAGATCATTTTATGGTCATTTTCAAAAAATTAAAAAAGCCTTTTTCTATTTTTTGAAGAACTATACATTGGGCTATTGAAATTGGGCTGCTTGTTCGGCCAAAATGCTAATTATGAATCTATCGATATCTGTATAGCTGTTAGCTCATTGATATTTGTTTTCAGGATAACCCATATGACTGGCAATTTGCAATCAGAGGCCTTAATGGAACTGAATTCGAGGGTGGAATTTATCATGGCCAGATGCAGTTTCCGGTGGAATACCCAAACCAACATCCTATATTCACGTTGTTGACGGTAATATATGTACTTGTTGCCTTTTGAGGTTTATGGGCTCTTTTGCTACTTAAGTTAGATTCTTATTTCTTTCTTTTTCTTTTTTAAATTATGACAGTCGTGATGTGTTTACTTTACTTGTAGGAAAATGGTCTCTTCAAAACTCACACCGGGATCAATTTGAACCATAATTTTGGGGAGCCATTCACTGGTACGTTTCATTCTTTCTGAGACATTATGTATGCTAGTATATAATATTAGAATACATCTCTTAAAACACTTACTCGCCTGCTAAAGAAGAAGACACACATAATCCACCAAAACACAAGCTTTTCTTCTACCCTTAGTAAACCAAAATGCTTTTGCTAATGGATATGGTTTTAGCCTCACTATTATATGTTGGGAGATTCACTATTATATCCAATATGGGGTTTAAAACCTCATTAAAAAACACTCAAAACACTTGATAGGGTATCAAAGTAATTTAATAATCAAAATTAAATTCAATAGGGCTAGCTGTCACTTTTTGGGTTTTTTTTTTGTTCTTTATAAAAAATAAAGAGTGCTGCTAAACAAACCCTAAAATTAACTGAGTACACCCTACTACCATCAAGGATTTATAAGAATCAAGCTTTGAATGGAAGGAGCTACCAAATCTACTCCCACAACAGCTTACGAAATTAAAGATTTTGATGCAAACCCAACATCTAAAAAGAAGGCACAAATTAATGTAAAAAGAGAAACATGATTTAGGATTGGTATTAGGGTGTTGTGTGATAGAATGTATTAGGGTTCGTTTAGCAACACTCAAATTAAATGGTGTAGAGTTTATCTATATCACTAATACTAAGAATGAGTATATAACTAAATATCTCTTGACTGCATGACGTTGTCTTTTTATAATGTGACATCTTGCTAATGTACTGTTGCTGTTGGCAGTGCGACGTGCTTTACTTGAACTTATTGATTTATTGCACACCCACCCAAATGGTGCATTGGGTTCAGTACTAGAAGTAGAACACAATAAGGAAGTAAGGCGTGCCCTGGCCATCAAATCTCGTGCAGCAGCTCCAAAATATGGCACTACTGAACGTCAGAAGTTAATTGATGAGGTACAATACTTACACAAAGTTTCTTTGCAACCAATATTTCATGATGACAACTTGCTAAAGGATGGTATTAATTTCACAGATTCATGAATATATGCTCAGCAAGGAATCCCCTCTTCCTTCAAACAGGGGAGGGGATATCCGGGTGAGTTCCCAAACTGATCGAGACAGTAGAAAGTGGGCAGGATTTCCAGTGGTGACGACGATCATTCAACAGGAGTTGGAGGAGATGCAATCCAATCCCTCTGACGATTTCAAGTGCCTCGCGCTCACGGTTACGTTTACTTTTCCAATACCCCTTTCGTTTTTTTTTAATTTATAAATATTATTGTTCTTTGACTTTTGGTTTAATTTCACTTTGAAGGATAAGTTAAGAATTTGGATTGGTGATTTTGAATTCTATTTGAATTTTGAGTATTGGGTTCGACCTCAATTGGTATTTTCAAATTTGTTCGCTGTTTGGCTATTGAAATTGGGCATGTTGTTTGGCCAAAATGCTAATTATCAATCTATCGATATCTGAAGTTTTTGATTTGGTAGCTCATTGATATTTGTTTTCAGGGGAACCCATATGACTGGCAATTTGCAATCAAAGGCCCTAATGGAACTGATTTCGAGGGTGGAATTTATCATGGCCGGATCCAGTTTCCGGTGGAATACCCAAACCAGCATCCTATATTCACGTTGTTGACGGTAATATATGTACTTGCCTTTTGAGTTTATGGGCTCTTTTGCTACTTGAGTTAAATTCTTTTTTCATTCTTTTTCTTTTTTAAATTATGATAGTCATGATGTGTTTACTTTACTTGTAGGAAAATGGTCGCTTCAAAACCCAAACCGAGATCAATTTGAACCATAATTTTGGGGAGCCATTCACTGGTACATTTCATTCTTTCTGAGGCATTATGTATGTGCTAGTATATAATATTAGAATACGCCTCTTAAAACACTCACTAACCACCTGCTAAAGAAGAAGACACACATAATCCACCAAAACACAAGCTATTCTTCTACTCTCAGTAAACCAAAATGCTTTTGCTAATGGATATGGTTTTAGCCTCACTATTATAAGTTGTCTTGTCTGCGTTTCCTTGTTAATGTACCATCTTGCTAATTACTGTTGTTGTTGGCAGTGCGAAGTACTTTACTTAAACTTATTGAGTTATTGCCCACCTACCCAAATGGTGCATTGGTTTCAGTAGAATACGATAAGAAAGAAAGGCATGCCCTGGCCGTCAAATCTCGTGAAGCAGCCCCAAGATATGGGACTGCTGAACGACAGAAGTTAATTGATAAGGTACAATATTTACACAAGGTTTCTTTGCAACCAACATCGACTAACATCTCATCATGAAAACTTGCTAAAGGATAATATTAATTTCACAGATTCATGAATATATGCTAAGCAAGGTACCCCATGTTCCTTCAAACGGGGGAGGGGATATCCGGGTGAGTTCCCAAAATGATCGAGACAGAAGACAGCAGGACATAGTTACCCAAAAAAGAAAAAGAAAGCAGGGCAACTTTTTCTTTTTTTGGAATACAATTAATGCTGACAACTGCAAGCGGGCAGGATTTTTCGATTTTGGGAAGAAGCTCAAAAGCCTATGGTGATGGTAAAGTTCGTTGTCATTATAAATTTACTTTTAATAATTATTTTGTGATTATAAATTTCGTTGTCAACATGTGAGAGGAGATAGTGACAAATCCCCTTTTCTTTTCCATGCTTGAGAGATAGTATAATATTGCTTGTATCTAAAAAGAAAGCTGGTAGGAAGTAGGAATTTGAGAATTTGAGAATAACTGCTCCAAGAAAGCAAAACAAGTCGTCTCCAGTAGAGAAACCAGCTCGACTTCCAGAGAAGACAACCAAGAGTGATGAACTGAGGTGATTTGTAGTGTAGCCCTCTTTTTATGTTTTTTTAGAGGCATGGTGCCGATTTAGGATTGTTACTAGGCACCTTTAGTTAATGGATTTTGGTTAATGATTTTTTCATTTTTGCTTTTTAGTTTTGATTGAATTTATTGAACTAATTTATTTGTTTGTAGTTGTTAATGTGGCTTGAATGTGTGCAGGAGCCCAACACGTGTTTGCTAATTGTTTTAAGCTCAAAATTGTGAATGTGTTTTCCACAGTGCTTACGTACAAATAATCTTCCTATGTCCTTTCCCCTCCCCGATAATCTTTCAAATTCAAATAGAGAAATTATTGGTACTTGGCACCCGAAACCAGCTCGACTTCCAGAGAAGACAGCCAAGAGTGATGAACTGATCGGTGATCTGAAGTGTAGCCCCCTTTTTATTTTTTTTACAGGCATGCTGCCGATTTAGGATTGTTACCACCACAATGATTCGTGGTGTAAAAGTTTCAAAAATCCTCGATTTTGCAGGTTTAGTTGGTTTGGGCTTGACCCCAATGTTAGTTTTTTCCAAAAAGCTAAATAGCAGTTTTTAAAGCAGGCCAGCCATAAAGCCATTTCGTTTTACAGTATTTATTGTTGTAATCTTATAAATCCAACATATTTTTTTCTTTCTAATAATCACAATCATCATCCAACATATCAGTTTCCAAGGAACTAGAACAGAATATGTACTTACCATCAAGATTATACATGTGCTTACTATCAATCCAAGTATAATTTATTAGTTCTTACAACACATGACAAAAAATATACATAAAGCAAGAAATTCATATTGCACTTACAACCCATGACCAAAAAAAACAAAAACACAAAAAAAAATAGCTGCAGCAAAACTCGAGGTCATCAACCCAAAAACCTCCATCCAACTAGCTGTAGCAAGATCCATTCAAAAGACTTGACAAAAAAAATCCGTCCAAAAGAAAACCTGCATCAAAACTAAGCAACCAAACCAACAACACTAGAATAATTAAAACAATGGTTAATTTGAACTTAGTATCTTGAACTCTTACCCTTAAGCCGCATGTTTACTCCTGCATTTTCAATTTAACAATAAAGTACCATGTGTTTGTAAATTTTTTCCAATGCGGCTCAACCGTTAGATTAGTTGTTAGAAAATCTATTAAGTGATGACATGACACATTTGGGATCCATATATATATATTTTAAATAAATTAATATAATAGTAAAGTTTTCATAAAATTCAATTAAATAAGAAATATGATTTTTTTTTAAACAAGCCAAAACAATTATAATCCAACCATTCCAAATAAGAGGATTGTGAAAGGATTAATTCAGATGAGAGAACTTGATCCAATGATTCGTATGAGATGAAATCTTATCTTGTCTATTTTTGGATTTTGTATATATCTCACACCTACCAGATAGTGCAAGTGGTTAAGTTGGGGACAATATCGATGTTAGTAGTGAACCGTGAGTCATCCTTCTGAAATCTTAATATGGTATCATACATGGCCAGTTTACTGGGCCCAATTGAACCTGGATCAAACGAATCTCAAGGCCTATAGACTCCAAGTAAATCTTCACTAAGAAAAGACCTAATACTATCAGAAGGGTCATGGAAAGTTGACAGGCCCAACTCAAGACATGAACCCAATTTAGCTAATCCATCTACCACCATATGGGTTGGAATCCCTCCCATTTTTTGAAAAAAAAAAAAAAGAAACACATAATTCTAATGCTTTTAATGAGTTATTGTAGTTTGAAACCACGCTGCTTATCTCTCTTTATAGAACAGTTATGACCACTAAACCTAGCAACTCTTAATCCACATCAAGAGCCAGTAATTATTATTATTTTTTAGCACAAATGATTGGAGGAGGGAGATTTATATATATATATATATATATTGTGTATGTGGGTTTCGAATCTCTGTCCACATGGGTGGGAGTGGAAGAGCTCAACCAACTGAGCTATACCCCATTGACCACATCAAAAACCTATAATTACATATTTTTGTTGCTTTCAAAAAGTGAGTCAATATTTACTCCCTCAGGCAAGGTCCTGGGTTCGAGTCTTAGCATCCATGTAGTGTGTGTGAGTTTAGTATGCTATTGTCCCTCTCAATAGGAAAGGTCCTAAAAAAAAAAAAGTCAATTATTATAGTTGTCACATGTTACACTAGATAACCTATTCTTTTAAATTATATGACCTCTATTTTTTAACACAACGTACGTTTAGCTCTTAAGATAATTTCCTAAAGACATAAAAGCATTTATTATATCTTTTAATCTTTTTATAGACCTATATTTTGAGTTGAAACGAAAAGCACCACTAGTGAGTAGTGAGTATTAACGTCAAATTTAAATATTATAATTTCACGTTTTTAATATGTTACTTTACATCCAATTTGAAGAGTAACTCTCGGTTTGAAAGTGGTGCTTTTTAATTAGTTAGTAGCCCTTTTTATGAAATACCTCAAGTTTTTCTTTAGAAACGTAAACTTTTTTTAGAAAGACATCATTTCATTGGGAGAAGAATAATAGAAAATAGACGACACCTCTCTTTTAGCTCAACCGCATAAAAAACATGCTTATACCTACCGCACTTAACAAATAAGCATGTTTTCCTCATTCTCCCGATTTGTTTAATAAAAAAGAAATCTCCCAATTGTAAATTCCTTTGAGAACACAACCCATTATTGCTTAGCATACAAAGTTTCATGGAAGGATGGCAGGTCCAACTCAAGACATGAACCCAATTCAGCTAATCCATCTGCCATCATATTGCACTCATGATATACATGATGAATAGATACAAATCTAGTTTCTGTCTATATAGTCTTGGCATCCCCACAACATAGCAGCAAAAGGATGAAGGCCTTCCATATCTTTTTTAAGCAGATGTACCGCAATCGCTGAGTGAGGGATATGGGTTGCAATCACTCCCATTTAAAAAGAAAAAAAAAAGAAACACATAATTATAATGTTTTTAATGAGTTATTGTAGTTTGAAACCACGCTACTTATCTCTCTTTATAGAACAATTATAACCACTAAACCTAGTGTTGAGACCCAAAAAGTCATGAGAAGCCCAAAAATATTTAAGGCCCAATATAACATATAATGTTGGTCATGCGTTAATCCAAACTGTATTTTGGGAATTAATTCATTAAATAAATATAGAAATAGTGTGCATGTCATGCCAAGCCAATAATATATTTTTCATTTGTCAATCACCTACCAAGCTCACATGAACCCAAGTCATGTGGTTTACGGGGCTTGCATGAGGGATTGTGGTGTGAAAGGTTACGGAGGTCCATAAGGCCGACGGCAGCTCTTGGATAATGGAGACTTTGGGATAGCTACTTGGGAGCAACAAAGTCCAAGCTCATTACTTGGAGTTCTCCAATGTGGGTGAGCAAATGAGATATTCTTCAAGCACTCCCTATTACCCACTGGAAATAAGCCAATTCCGACACTTCCTTTGACCCATAGGAAATAATCATTTTCCAATGCCTAGCTTTACTTGTTGGAAATAAGAATGTCCCAATGCTCTCTTTTACCTGTTGGAAATAGACTAGCTCCAACACTTCCTTTTACTTATTGAAAACCAAAGAGAGCCTTCACCTTCTATAAATTGGGAGGCATTGCCCAGGCAAAATCAACTCCTCTTGGTTGTTGCAAGCCTCTCAGCAACCATGAGAACTCACACTTTCTTCAACTACTGCAAGCATTCTAGCAATCATCCCAACCATTCCTCAGCTATCACAACCATTTCTTCTACTTTCTCATCCTTGAAATCCTTCATCTTCCCTATAAAGCCTCACCAAGCATAACTTCAAGCTTTTCCTTCCTCCTCATACCCTTCCAAGCTATAAACACCATAGCCTTCAAGCCTCAAGCTTTTCCTTCCATCATCCTTATCTTGAAACTCTTAAATCACCATAGCCATAGCCACAAACATCAAGTTCTCTACACCCAAACTCAAGCCTATCCACACCAAGCCAAGCACATGCATTCTCATTTACTGAACTTGCAAGTCTTTAGCTCCCACACTCCAAGCTCTCATGCCGAGCTCGCACAATCTCGGTTCAACATCATCAAGTCATCTTCAACCATGCAAAAGCACGACCAAGCATTCGTTCTCTAAAAAAGCTCTATCCCAAATCTGAAACACCCATCCTTTCAAGCTAAGTTGAAACCATAGTCATTACCTTTTTGGTAAGAAAACACAGACATCGCAAGCTCTTCATCTAGCTGCCGAAAACACCCAAAATCCCAAGCCTTAATCCTTTCTTTATGCTCATTTTCTCTTAGCTCCCACACCACAAGCCTCTCATGCCAAGCCTAGTAGTATCTTGATTCACCAATGCCAAGCCTAATAGTATCTTGATTCACCAAAGTAAACTCTCATGCCAAGCCTATGCAATATCAATGCACCATCTCCAACTCTTCGTCTAGCTGTCGGAAACATCAGCACAAAACACACAGCCATTGGAAGAAGAACAAAGTACTCCCCTGAGACTTGCTTCTCCCTCGGGATGCTTTGGGCTTAGTTCTCGCTACCTTAGAAAAGGGGCAACGAAGGCTTGATTCACCACTCTATGGCGGTCCAAGAATCAACAAGCCCAGACGAGCCTTCCGACGGAAAAAGACCCCAACACCTAGCAACTCTTAATCCACATCAAGAGCTAGTAATTATTATTATTATTTTTTAGTACAAACGATTGGAGGAGGGAGATTTATATATATATATATATTCATTGAGTGTATTTGGGTTTCGAATCTCTATCCACATGAGTGGGGGTGGAAAAGCTCAACCTACTGAGCTATACCCCATTGATCACATCAAAAGCCAATATAATTACATATTTTTGTTGCTTTCAAAAAGTGAGTCAATTGTTATAGTTGTCATGTGTTACACTAGATAACCTATTCTTTTAAATTATATCACCTCTATTTTTGTTAACACAACGTACGTTTGGCTCTTAAGATAATTTCCTAAAGAAATCAAAGCATTTATTATATCTTTTAATCTTTTTTATAGACCAATTTTTTGAGTTGAAACGAAAAGCACCACTAGTTAATAGTTAGTATTAACGTCAAATTTAAATATTATAATTTCACGTTTTTAATATGTTACTTTACATCCAATTTGAAGCGTGACACCCGTTTTAAAAGTGGTGCTTTATAATTAGTTAGTGGCCCTTTTTATGAAAGTCCTCAAGTTTTTCTTTAGAAACGTAAACTTTTTTGAGAGAGACATCATTTCAATGGGAGAAGAATAATAGAAAATAGACGACACCTCTCTTTTAGCTCAACCGCATAAAAAACATGCTTATACCTACCGCACTTATCTTGACCCTAAACAGATAGATAGGCATGTTTTCCTCATTCTCCCCATTTGTTTTATAAAAAAGAAACTTCATTCTCCCAATTGTAAATTCCTTTGAGAACACAACCCATTATGCTTAACACAAGCCTCAACTCTGCCCACTCACTTTCGGAGGAACATCAACGCATGTGGTGATAGAAATTGTGTGACTCTGCGATCATAAAGACTGTATATGAAATGAAAGAGACGACTCAATAGCTACCTTTTTCTCCGTGTTCTTTTAACACAAAAGTAAATTCGATGGAGAAAATTATCTGGGAAACAGTGAGAAAATTATCACTTCCCTACTGACTGATATATCACGTCATTAATCCTTTTTAAGGTGGGCCAAAGAAAGAAAGAAAAAATCAGATAAGAGGAAAGATGGATAATAACGGGAGCTTGGATCTATCCCTGCAGATTACAGACAATGGGTGATCGGTAGGATTGGGATGCTTTGGACTTGGACTATGACGGAGTTTTTATTTATTTTTGTTTTCACTTGTATTGTATGTATTTGTTGGAAAAGAACATCACGGCAGGAATTGTTGATTTTATCTTCAATGGACCAAAATTAAGATATGAAGAAGACATGCGTGGAACAAGTAGTTGTAATACAACCAATAATTGTGTGTCAAGATCTAGAGAAATACATATACATGATGCCTAATCTCGTACACTAAACCTTAGAGCCTTGATGGGGTTTAATCCACTCAACATGTTATAGCAATTCTCTCCAAATCATTTAAACTTCATTTTTTTTTAAATTGAAGTTTAAGGTGAGTCTGTATTGAGCGTATTATCGAGAATTCAAGGGAAGTGATGTGAAAAATCATTGAAATGTTTTTGTTCATTTCTTTGATGATGCCACATTAAAACACATTTTTAGAGAAGTTAAGTTTTATGTCGATGGTTGAGCTTATATTGTAGGATCTCCATTTAGTTTTCATGACCTATTTGGAAGTGTTTCTAAAATGGCTAAAATCACTTGACTTCCCTCAATTTTCAACCTGGAGCACTTAGGGGGCGTTTGGTATCCTATTTAAATAGAGAACTCAAAAACTTAGATTTTTCTTAAAAACAAGGAGTTCTTAAATCTATTTTTAAGATTCAAAAACTTGTTTGGTATGCAACTTGAAAAATATTTTCAAATCTTAAAAATTTGAGAACTTGTGGGTTGTAAGAAAAAAAATTGAAAAATAGATCTTTTTTGTTTTTAATAATTGGGGTGTTTTTTTAGTTGTTCTTGAGTTTGAGTTTTTAAAAATAGGGCTACTCAACAGGTTTTCTTTGTTTTGCAGTCAAATTCTATTTTTGAATTTAAAAAGTTGAATTCAAGTTAAATACCAAACAGACCCTCAAAATTTTAAAATTTTTAACTTTATTATTTTCATATATGCATTTTATAAGAATAAGTGCTTCTTATAAAAGCAACCACAACCACAACCACAAACATGTATCTCGGATTTCAGTTGTCACATAATTAAAAAAAAAAGAAAAAAAAATTATAATCATCAGATCCTAAATTTCAGGCCCAAGGTAACCATGGGTTGTGGTATATGGAAGATACTTGTCACACCACACGTGTGCCGACGCAATGTAACGTAATTCTAGTGTCCAAATCATAAAAACGCGTGCCAAATATACCAGAGCCAAAATGTAATGCGAAAAAGCAGGTGGCTGGAGAAGTCGCATCACCAAATTGCAAAGATTCTTTTGTCGACAACAAATTGCACGCATTTATACCAAAATTTAAGTGTTCAATGCATGTAATAGTCTAAATTAGAAGGAAATGTTGAATTTTTCTTACACGTTATCAAAGTGATATAGTATTCAAATTTTAGATTACTGGTTGTGGGTTCAAACTTTAGATCACTGATCTTCAGGTCAAGAAGATCCCTTTCCGGATTAGACCTATTGACGTAAATATATAATTTTAGACTTTAGTCTTCTCACGAGGAAAACAGAAGAATGAAAAAGAAAAAAGAAAAAAAAAGGAGAGCCGTGGTCCAAATGAAAATTATCAGCCGAATTAAACACTGATTTCATTTTACTCCTCCAGAATCCTCAAGTCAACATCGTTGACTCTCTCAGCTCACCAGCCCGTCACTTTAGCTCAACTCCAACCGTCCGTTTCTCTCTCAAATCCCCAGACCCCACCTTCTATCTCACACACGCGCTTCCTTGCCTGGAGCGATTCCACATCTCGCCCAAAGAATATGCCACGTGTGCATCCAACCCCTCCTCTCTGTACTAACCCCGGTTACTTTATCAATCCCGTACCTTACTAACCCTAGTTCTCTCTCTTTCTCTCACCTCTCCTCTCCCGTTCATATCTCTCTCTCCCTGTGCAATTTTCGATTTTTTCTGAGCTCCGAAAAAACAACCAAGAAACTCCAAAACAAAAAAGGAAAATAAATAAACCGGAAAAGAAGAAAAAGAGAAAAACCGAAAACGTGAATTAGGGTTACGTATACAAAACTCTGCAATTTGTATGCGCGGGATTATATGAGCGTTTTGTGTAGCATTCTGTGGATTCGTTGTCTTGCAAATCAATGGCGGAGCGGAGGTTCGGGATAGGCTATGCTTTGGCGCCGAAGAAGCAGCAGAGCTTCATCCAAGAGTCGCTGGTCGGCCTCGCGAGATCGCGCGGCATCGATCTCGTACGGATCGACACTGAGCGCTCGCTGGCGGATCAGGGGCCGTTCGATTGTGTGATGCACAAGTTGTACGGCAACGATTGGAAGCGGCAGCTGGAGGAGTTCGGCGTGAAGAACCCTAATGCGGTGATAATCGACTCGCCGGAGGCGATCGAGCGGCTGCACAATCGGATTTCGATGCTGCAGGTGGTTTCGGAGCTGAAAATCGAGCACGAGACTGACACGTTCGGGATTCCGAAGCAGATTGTGATATACGACAAGGAAACGCTGTTTGATCGCCAAGCTTGGGAGGGTCTGAAGTTCCCGGTGATCGCAAAGCCTCTGGTCGCCGACGGCAGCGCCAAGTCGCACAAAATGGCCCTGGTTTTCAACCACGACGGGCTCGACAACCTCAAACCCCCAATTGTGCTTCAGGAGTTTGTGAACCATGGCGGCGTTATCTTCAAGGTGTATGTGGTTGGCGAACATGTGAAATGCGTGAAGCGTAAGTCACTCCCTGACGTTTCCGAAGAAGAGAAATTGGGAAGCTTGGATGGCTTGTTGTCGTTCTCGCAGATATCCAATCTTGCAAACAATGAGAGAACTGATGACAAGTACTACAAGATGATGCAGTTGGACGACACAGAGATGCCGCCACAGAGCTTTATCACTGATATTGCAAGAGGGTTGCGGCAAGGGCTGAAGTTGAACCTGTTTAACTTTGATGTGATTCGGGACGCGAGGTTTGGTAACCGGTATTTGATAATTGACATTAATTACTTTCCTGGATATGCCAAAATGCCGGGTTACGAGACTGTGTTGACTGATTTCTTTTGCGATATTAAGCAAAAGAAAGAGAAAGATGGGGCGGAGAACACTGGTTTGGATAGTTATGAGGTACTTAGCTGTGATGACGAAGTGAGGAAAATTGTAAGTAGTGATGGGGATGATGGGGGTGATCTTAACGTAGAAGAGGAGAACCCAATTCAAGTTTGAAAGGCCCTGTGGCGTCCTTGTCCTGTGGTTGGCTGGCACTATTGGTTCATTGGCATTTTCGTAAGAAGCTTGGCCATTTTGGTGATTTGTGGACGAAGATGAGTTGCACATTAGGTTTAGATAGCAGTTGGGACAGTGCTGAACTGAGTAGGCTGGTTCTTGGTTTTAGCTTTAACTTCTTGACAACAAGATTACATGATGTTCAGCGTTGATCGTGTATATTCCATTCACCAATGCTCCGGAGAAGGTACTTCTCAAAATACTATGCTGAAGTTTTAGCCTTTTAGGAAAGTCAAGTTGTAATCTGAGGCTTTAAAGTCTTTCATTGCCTAGAAACTGTTCTAGTTTGTGCCATAGGCACCTTTAGTTAATGGATTTTGGCTTTTTTTGGTTAATGATTTTTTCATTTTTATTCTTTTTTGCTTTTTAATTTTGATTGAATTTATTGAATTTTATGATACTTTTTTTTCTCTTCATGAACTAATTTATTTGTTTGTGGTTATTAATGTGGCTTGAATGGGTTGCATTAATAAGGTTTCTGATTAGTACTCTGTCAATCAAATTTTATGAGGAAATCATTGAAGTTTTATGACATTCCTGATCTAGCGCTTCTTCCTTCTTCTTCTTTTTTTTTTTAAATTTTATTTTTATATTCAAATGCGAGTGTTTTTGGGCAAGAAGATAAAAGAAATGGTTGATGCAGTTTGTTTTGCTTTATTGTTTGGCAAGAGGCATATTGACTTGCTTGCATTTAATGTGTTACCTTCTGATGATACTTTTGTCATATATATAGGTCCGTTTGTAAAAACTAGTGTTAGGAGAGTAGTGCTTTGTCGCATGTTTTGGAAAGTTATTTAAAACTTAGTACATCCAGTGAATCCCCAGACTAATGCTCTAATTTCCATAATAAAAAAATTAGGATCCCAGGTTTGCCTTTTCAGGTTTTGTTGAGACTTGAGAGAAATGAACACCAAGTAATACACACATAAGCCAATTATTGCTTTGATGTAATGTTTGGTTGTTTTTGGATGAAGCAGAATGCTAGAATCAGAATGGAATAAGGAGCTGATCATATTTTCGGTGAATCAATTGATAAGAATGGTCTTGAAACCAAAGTGGGCGTAGGATAGAACAAATTACTATGTTGGATCTGTGTTGCTATACGTTTAACACTGCGTATTGACTTTGCATGAATGCCAATAGGAGTGATTGGCCCACATATGGTTTTGGTGTGTCGTTATTAGTAACGGTTTCTACTTTTATGATGCGAATATACCATGTCGTTTATGGAAACAATATATTTAAGTAGTTTAGGAATTTGACACTAGGATTCCTGTGGCTTGTACTCATGTTAAATTCTGACTTGTAGCTGAGTCATATTTAAGCACCATCTGCTGGCTCATAAACTTGTTCACGATAGATGGACTAGTACAATGTATGCAAGCTCGATGTGTGTAGGAGTCCAACATGTGTTTGCTAATTGTTTTAAGCTCAAAATTGTGAATTATTTTCCACAGTGCTTAAGTGTCAGGGGTCAGTGCTTATAACCGCATATGGTTCTTTTGCAGTAGCATCAAAGAAACGTACTTAAGAAGAGAATTGCGTACAAATAATCTCCCTATGTCCTTTCCCCTCCCTGATAATCTTTCAAATTCAAATAGAGAAATTATTGGCAGGACACCTGAAAGGCCACATGTCAATGATAAAATGATAGTGATTTATAAGTGGAAATGGAAAGTTTTGAATGCTATTAAGTTTCTGTAGTCAATAGCAAACTGATTAAATCCTTTGCAAAGGATATATCAAATATATATCCAATTGCAGAGAATCTCACTCCTATTATTTTACTTCCTTTGCGTCAAGTATATACATTCTCTACAGTTCTGTGCCAATGGGCTATGGAAGCCCAGTTGAGAAGTTAATAAGTATAGAATAAATTGTTTTTTGTGAACTTGTCGCAGGATTGTAGTTTTTATACAACCAATTGTCCTGGCCAGTTCCATGACCTTTGCTGCTCTAAGCTGAATGATTCCCGCTACGTTTCTAGCCTGTCAATGAGGAGTCATCTGTCTGTTAATTTTCTATATTCTGTTTCATAGAAAGAATTTATGCCATATACATATAGATAAATAATTATGGTATTGATTAAACTACTACCTCTTGGTTTGAGGATGGTAAGAGAATATCAACAGTATGTGTTTGTTTGGCTAAAACTTATTGTGTCCCCATGTTACATTTGAATTCACGCATTGAATCCATTGTATTTTTGGAGAGTTGGTGGAAGGTTCTTACTCTATTTTTGTTTTCCTTTTCTGTTTTCTTTCAGTTACTTATTAATTTAGTTTTCAAGTCAGTCTTCTTTTGTGGCGATCTATGTATATTTAAGTTTTGATGTGCTTTGATAGAAGAATCTTTGCTACACCTTCGAAATTGTTTTGCGTTTGCTCGTGTTGTGGCCTTGTGGTAAATGTTATGATTTACGCGATTGTATGAATTCATGTTTTGAGAAAACTGGGGATGTGGAGAGTCCTTGACTCTCTCTGTAGATTGAGCTTCATGTACTGGTCCCCTTCTTAGGTGCAAAACTTAATCAAGTTTGGTATTTTGTGTAAAGGTCATAACCATGCAGGATGAATATAGAAGTTAAAACTGAGAAAGTCTGATTCTGGAGATAGAAAGAGAAAAAGCCCATAAAACCTTCTGTCTCACTGGTTGTATTCCAGAAGTTCCAACTAGATCAATGACTTTTCTTGCCCAAATATATAAGAGTACAGAAATAAATTAAATCTTGGTTGTTGTTGAAGGTTGTAAACAGAAACTTTCTATTGTACAAGTCCCGAAAAAGAAAAACAGTAGCATGAGGTTGTTCATTGGATCTTAGAAGTCCTGTTATGTCTTTATTTAGTGTTACTAAATGTGGAGTACTGTGGGCATGTATGAATCCTTCTGAGGCTTCCATTGGCAAGTGAATGGTGGTGTCCTACTTTTCCATCCTCTTTATGGAAATTTCCCCATCCTGAATTTTCTATTGGCTATGGATTTTCCTGATTGCAGAAAATTTAAAATGCTCTGGTCTTTTTGAACCTGTTTTCGATTATTAAGGAAAAAGAAAAAGGAGAATAAGATTGTACTGGATTGTATTTCAGGCTTTGTCCCGAAAAGTCTGTTCAGATAGAATTCTAATTAGGTAGCAGAGGAATTTGAGGTTCTTCAAAGGATTTGAAACTGGATAGCATTTGCACAATATAGGTTATTATAGTTTTGGCATGGTGGGAGTACATGGGAAATCTGTTGTGGAGTTTCCAGTTTAAAGAAAATGCACTAGTATGACTGGTGCCAGGCTTTATGAGGGCCATAACAGTGGAGAGATGCCCTTCGGGATCGATATACGAAGTCCTTGAGAATATTTCTATGTATTTTTGGCAGAGGAGCATTGTGAGTTTGTGATTGTCGTACTTGGATTTTTGCTTGGGTCATTTTTGTATCAGTATTTTGTGGGGTGTAAATTTGTTAGTAGCAAATTTTCAGTGGGTTTCATTTAAAATTTCTCAGTATGTTTCAATGTACCTTTGTTTTTGCTTAAAATTAAAACCCACATAAACTTAAAAAGCAAAACCCTATTAGATTGAAAAATATAGGAGAGTAACGAAGCCTCATGGGACAAGAAGACCTTAATGCTAGTTTTGCTAGTGAAGCCTCGTGGGAGCGGTGTCATGCTTCTAGTCAAGGTACATCGAGGCTGAACGAAAGAAAATACGGTGCAATTTGAACGTTACTGACCTGTCAATCTCAGCTAACCTGTACCAGCTTATGAGACGTGAGGGTTTTGAAGGTTTACAACCTGTTTGTCTTTCAACGGGACCAAATTTCATAATTTTGGATTTTGTAATCTCAAATTTGTCATAAGCAATCTGGTTAGCCGACGGTAAAGTTGTAGATTTGGCTTCTAGTGAGAAAAAAAACAACAAAGCAGAAATTTTATAAGGATTTTTCGCTGCAATATTTTATGGTTGCAGAAGGTTCTCGCACAGGATGTGAACTTGATCTTACAATTTTTTTTGGGAACCTGATATTTAATAATATCTTTTTTTCATTTGGCCAAAAAAAAAAAATATATATCTAGTCTCTTTGATTTTGAGTCAACTTACCTGGACACTTTTTTTTGCTTTTAAGGCTTATGTACATGTTTTTTTTTCCAAAAAAAATGTGTGGGTATTAAGATATAGAAGTGATATCCAAAAAAAATGTGTGTGGGTATTAAGATACAGAAGTGATACCTACTCACACTATCATTATTAACACATTTTTAACACATTAATATACATGATTGATACCTACAAACACTATTTTTAATACATTAAGATACAAAATTGATACATACTAGCACTATTTTCAACACATTAAGATACATAACTGATATCTACCAACCGACGTGGGATCCAATATATATTTACACAGCAGCATACAAATAGAAACAAGGTATGCAAATGCTTTCTTGACAAGATGCATTGATCCTTATGCATCCCAAATCATCTCATATTCACAGTGTAGATATTCAATTTTCTCTTCTGCGTTCTACTTTTAATGGTACTTATTAGTTGTTGCCCAAGCCCCATTAAATCACTAAAACGATGCCCTACACTCACACAACTAAATGGGCAAAGTAGGATGACAATGAGTGTCAAAGAAAACAAATAGAGGTTCCTGGAATTTTAAGAATAGATAAGCAAGAAGTAGACTTAGCAAAGTAGCATCTACAAATCTTGAGGGATCTATGATACAGATTAACTAGGAAGAAGCAACAATCGTGAATCTACACTTCAACAAATTACCACAAACAATAGCCAAAAAAAAAAAAAAAAACCAAATTTTGGAAAAAGGAAAAAATATTTAAACAGCAGCAAACCTTTATATAGAGTTTACTATGCTTAAGCCAATTTATATTTTTGCAAACACAACTAGTACAGAGAAAAAAATAGTCTTACCCAGAATCAAAGCCCTAAAATCATAAACAAAAATTAAACATTAAATGAATGCAATAGAAAATGCAAACCTTAATATCAAAGAGAGAGAGGGAATTCGAGAGAAACGTATTGATTCTGACCAAAGAAAATTGGAGATTGTATTGAGAGTGGAGAATCTTTTTGAGATGAACAAGAGGGAGTCTGAAAAAAATGAATTCAGAGGTGGGGGGATTGGGCGGGATTGGAAAAGGCCCGGCAGGACACGTGGGCTAAGGGGAAAGTGTAGCGTACTCGTTTGTATTGTAAGCTTGCTTTTTCTCTTCAGCCGCTTAGATGACTTTGGATGACTGGGATTGATTCTCATATAATGTTCTTATTTTACCGTTCTCACTTGATCTGAGCACATGCATGCTTAGGTCATGCATGAACAA